CTTTTCAAGCTGCTTGCTGTCCCAGAGTTGGAACTCAGCTAAAGTGAGTCTGTTGGTGAGTAAGTTAATGCACATTTCTTTTAAGTGGAATGCCTCGGACTACAGCTGCCCGCCGTCTTCTTGTTGATTTTCACAGCCAGATGTTGTGGGAACTCCTTTTTGCAACACTGGTGGTCTGAGCTGGGGAGCCCAATGAGGGGCTGGGACCCCTTGCTTTTCATTTGGGGCCTCCGCAGCTGAGTATCCCTCTTAATCATCACATGTGGGTGTACAACCAGCCCATTTGGTGTCTCTGCTCCTCTTACAAGTGTTGAACTGGGTTCTTCTTTATATCTTTAATGATAGGAGTTCTATGTAGTCATAAGGATGGTTGTTCTGTAATTTAGCTGTGGTTGGGGGAGGAGGCGAGCATTGCACTAACTTGGCCTGCCATCTGACTAGAAGTCTAAATGATATCTTACTGTGGTTTTGGTTTGCAATCATCTAATGATTAGTGATGGTTATCATCTTTTTTTTCTTTTTATCCTCACCCAAGGACATTTTTGCATTTATCTTCAGATATAGTGGAAGAGAGAAAGGGAGGAAAAAAAAGAGAAACATCGATGTGAGAGAGACACATGACTGGTTGCCACCCACACAATCCCAACCAGGGCCGGGGACAAACTGTAACCGAGGTACATGCCCTTAGCAGGAACTGAACCCAGGACTCTCTAGCTCGCGGGCTGACACTCTAACCACTGACCTGCCAGAGCTGGTTAGCATCTTTTAATGTGCCTGTTGCACATTTGTATATGTCACCTTTGGAGAAGTGTCTACTTATGTTCTCTGCCCATTTTTAAATTTGTTGTGTTGTTAATTCTCTGGTTTCTACTTCACTAATTTCAGCTTTAATCTTTGCTATTTCCTTCTTTTTGCTTACTTTAGGTTTTGTTTGGTCTTCTTTTCCTGTGTCTTAAGGCAGAATTTAGGTTATTCATTTGAGATCACTCTTTTCTTTTATTTTCTTTTTTTTAATGAATTATTTATTTATTTTTTTGTTACAGATATTTTTACCTTTTTACCCATTGGCACCCCCCACCCCGCCCCGTCCCCGGCTTAGTTGTCCATGTCCATTGGTCATGCATACATGCATATAAGTTCTGTGGTTTATCTCTTCCCACCCCCTGAGGAATGTCAGTCTGTGCCCTACTTCCATGTTTCTGGGTCTACTGTATTCCTCAGACTGTTATGTTCATTATATTCCGTATATAAGTGAGATCATGTGGTATTTGTCTTTTTCTGCTTGGCTTCTTTCACTTAGGATAATACTTTCCAGGTCCCTCCATGTCGTCTCAAAGGATAAGAGATCTTTCTTTCTTACCGCTGCATAGTACTCCATTGTGTATATGTACCACAGCTTTTTTATCCGTCTACTGGTGGACACTTGGGCTGTTTCCAGATCTTAGCTATTGTAAATAGTGCTGCTATGAACATGGGGGTACATATATTCTTCCTGATTGGTGTTTTAGGCTTCTTAGGGTATATTCCTAAAAGTGGGATCACTGGGTCAAATGGAAGTTCAATTTTTAATTTTTTGAGGTAGCACCATATTGTTTTCCATAGCGGCTGCACCAGTCTGCATTCCCACCAGCAGTGTATTAGAGTCCCCTTTTCTCCACACCCTCGCCAACACTTGTTGTTTGATGATTTGTTGATGGCTGAGATCACTCTTTTCTAAATATAGGACTTTACAACCTAACTTTCCCTCCAACTAGTACTTTAGCTGCATCCCATGTGTTTTGGTGCATTGTATCCTCATTTTCATTCATCTCAAGGTATTTTTCCAATTTCCACTGTAAATTATTCTTTTACTCACTGATTATTTAGAAGTATGTTAATTTCCATGTTTGTGAATTTCTTTAGTTTCTTCCTATAACAGATTCCATTCCATTGTTGTGGGAAAACATGCTTTGTAAGATTTCAGTTATTTCAAATTTACTGAGGTTTGTCTTATGCCACAGCATATGGTCTATACTCGAGACTGTTCCATGTGTACTTGAGAGAAATGTGTATTTTGCTATTACAGGGTGGATTTTTCTGTAGATGTCTTTCAGGTTTTGTTAGTTTATAGTGATGTTAAAGTCTTCTATTTTCTTGTTGATCAGTTTAGTGGATCTATTCATTATTGCTCTTTAAAACATATTTGATGATTGAAAGAAAAAATTATAACATTGTTCAGTAGGATTTACATTGCATGTAAATGTAATATGACATCTATAACAAAGGGAAGAGAAAAAAAAGGCATAAGATTTGTACATTCTACTTGAAATAGTATTCATTCTGCCCTGGCCAGTGTAGCTCGGTTGGTTGGGTGTCATCCGTGCATCAGGTTGCTGGTTTGATTCCCAGTCAAGGGCATATGCCCAGGTTGCAGGCTCCATCCTGGTGGGGGGTGCAGGTGGCAGCTGAGGGATGTTGCGATCTCACATCGATGTTTCTCTCTCTCTCCATCTGCCTCCCTCTCTCTCTAAAATCAATATAAACTATTCTTTAAAAAAAAAAAAAAACTATTCATTCTAAGTAGTTTGTGAGTAATTGTGTGAGTATATTGTTGTTTTTGTTTTTTTTTTATCTTCACCGGAGGACATTTTTTTCCCCCATTTTTTGTTCAGTTAGAGCAGGAGGGAGAAAGAGGAAGAGAGAGAGAGAGAAACATCAATGTGAAGGGACACATCGAGTGGCTGCCACCCGCACAACCAACCAGGGCCGGGGACAAACTGCAACCGAGGTACGTGCCCTTAGCGGGATTCAAACCTGGGTCTCTCTGTACCACAGGCCGACGCTCCAACCGCTGAGCCAAACTGGCCAGGGCTGTGTGAGTATATTGTGATCCCTACAGCCACTTAAAAAATGACTGTCCAGCCCTGGCTGGTTTGGCTCAATGGTTAGAGTGTCGGCCTGTGGTCCAGAGAGACCTGGGTTCGGTTCCCGCTAAGGGCACGTACCTCGGTTGCAGTTTGTCCCCAGCCCTGGTTGGTTGTGTGGGTGGCAGCCACTCGATGTGTCCCTGTCACATCGATGTTTCTCTCTCTCTCTTCCTCTCACTTTATCTGAACAAAAAATGGAAAAATGTCCTCGGGTGAGGATTAAAAAAAAAAGAAGAAACTTGTTTTAAATCATTATATATATATATATTTTACTTATATATAAAATATAAGTAAAGGGATAAAAAGAGAAATATCACAGATGCATTAATTAAGAGAGTGGCCATATTAGTATTAGACAAAGTAGATTTAAGAGTTAAAAAACAAACCCAGGTATAATGAAGAACACTGCATAATGATAAAAGGGTCAATTTCCCAAGAAGACATAACAATCTTTGATGTGTTTGCATTTACTACCAGAGCTTCCAAATTCATGAAGCAAAAACCAACAGACATGAAAGGAGTGACAAATAAAATTAGAGTTGGAGACTTCAATATTCCACGCTCTATAATTGATATAAATAGTAGAAAATCAGTAAAGACACAGGAAAACTGCCTGGCTGATGTGGTTCAGTGGTTGAGCACTGACCCATGCACCAAGAGATTGCAGGTTCTATTCTTGATCAGGACACATGCCCAGGTTATGGGCCTGATTCCCAGTGGGAGGCATGCAGGAAGCAGCCAATCGATATTCTCTCATTGATGTTTCTCTCTCCTTCTCCCTTCCTCTCTCTCTAAAAATCAATCAATAAAGAAAAAAAAAGACACAGGAAAACTGAACAGGACCATCAAATAACTGTATCTGACATTTGTAGAATGCTCTACCCTTCAAAAAGAGAATATCCATTCAAGTGCACATGGAAGATTCACCAATACAGACTATATCCTGAGTCATAAAACAAATCTTAACAATGTAAAAATAATTGCAATCATGCCAAGTACATCCTCTGACCATATGGAAGCAGAACAGGAATCAATAAGACAAACATAACTGGAGCATCTCTAAACATTTAAAAATAGAACAAGAGACTTCTAAATAACCCATGTATCAAAGAGAAAATCTCAAGGGCAATTAGAAAATATTAATATCCCTTATGAACTTAGATGCAAAATAATCAAAACAATATTAGCAAATTGAATCAAGTACTAGTATATAAAACGTATATTCCACCTCAAAAAGCCATGAAATTCTGAAAAATGCTATACCATGGATGAGTCATGAAAACATTATGCTAAATCAAATAGGACAGACACAAAAGAATAAATACCATATGATTCCAATTATCTGAGGTATCTAGAATTGGTAAATTAAGAGAGACATAGAGTAGAGTAGAGGTTACCAGGGGTTGCAGAGGGGACAATGGGGAGTTATTGTTTAACATATACAATTTCTCTTTGGTATGAAAAAATCTCTGGGAAATAGATAGTGGTGATGGTTACATAACATTATAAATGTATGTAATACCATCGAATTGTACACTTAAAAATAGTTAAAATGGCCCTGGCCGGTTTGGCTCAGCGGTTAGAGCGTTGGCCCGCGGTCCAGAGAGACCTGGGTTTGGTTCCCGCTAAGGGCACGTACCTTGGTTGTGGTTTGTCCCCAGCCCTGGTTGGGTTGTGCGGGTGGCAGTCACTTGATGTGTCCCTTTCACGTCCATGTTTCTCTCTCTCCCTCTCTCTCTCCCTCCCACTCTATCTGAACAAAATTGGAAAAATGTCCTCAGGTGAGGATTAAAAAAAAAGTTAAAATGATAAATTTTGTCATGTGTATTTTACCACAAATAACAAACAAACAAACAAAAATCACAACTACATGGGGTTTATCCTGGAAATTAAAGGATGGTCTAATATTCTAAAATCAAGCAACAAAATCATATTAACAGCTTAAAAAAGAAAAGTTACATGATTATGTAAAGTAATACAGAAAAAGCATTTGACATAATTCAATGTTCATTCAAGACAAAAACTGTCAGCAAAGTAGGAATAGAAGGGAATTTTCTTCACCTGGTAAAGGCATCTACAAAATATTTACAGGTAGTGCTCGCTTCAGCAGCACATATACTAAAATTGGAACGATACAGAGAAGATTAGCATGGCCCCTGCGCAAGGATGACACGCAAAATATTTACAGCTAACATCTACTTAATGGTGAAAGTCTTTCCCCTTAAGATCAGAAACACGGGAAGAATGTCCTCTCACTAGTCTCATTCAATATTGTATTAGGAGTCCTAGACCAATGAAATAAAGCAAGATAAAGAAAAGGCATCCAAATTAGAAATAAAAGGCATATGTAGATATACAAATAGTCTGTGTTTATGTAAAATACCAAGGAACCTACAAAAAAATTCTTCTAGAACTAAAAGGTTAGTTTAACAATGTCACAGGATACAAAGTCAACACAAAAATCAATTGTGTTCCTCTACACTAGCAATGTACAATGGAAGCTGAAATTTAAAAAATGATACCATTTGCCCTGGCCGGTTTGGCTCAGCGGTTAGAGCATCGGCCTGTGGTCCCCAAAGACCCTGGTTCGGTTCCCGCTAAGGGCATGTACCTCAGTTGCAGTTTGTCCCCGGCCCTGGTTGGGTTGTGCGGGTGGCAACTACTCGATGTGTCCCTTTCACGTCGATGTTTCTCTCTCTCTCTCTTCCTCCCACTCTGTCTGAACAAAATATCAAAAAATGTCCTCGGGTGAGGATAAAAAAAAAAAAATGATACCATTTGTATTAGCTAGATGAAAAAATGTAATTGCTATAACCTAACAAAACATGGACACAATGTATATGCTTAAAACCACAAAATGCTGATGAAAGCAAGGAAGACACAAATAAATAGTCCATGTCTATGCTCCTGGACTGAAAGACATAGAAAACATGGCAATTCTCCCTGTATTAATCTGTAGATTAAACATATTTCCAATTGCTCCTAGCACAATTTTCAATAGAATATTTGATTTTAGAATGTGTCTACATAAGAAATGTCCAAGCCTGTGAAGAATTTTGTCACTTTGTTTTAGCCAAACTGTGGACAAATGCTTAGATGCAAAACCTCAATGGATTGAGTTAATGCTCCAGAGAAGAGCAGTTTAGCACCTTAATTTATACATTACAATAAAAGAGAAGGCAGGTGTAAGTGCGTTACATGAAATCCATTGGTGATAGATGAGGGAGGTGGGAGAAAGCAAAGCAGGGAAATCTCTGGGATTGGATGAAAAGTAAAATGATAGACCCATCCTTCTTTTACAGGATAGTTAACAGTCAACAATGAACAATTAACGTAATAGTAACAATGAGGGGATTTGTTTCCACCCTGGTGCACAGGTTGTGCCCTGAGAGGTCTGGGAAAAAAAGAAGTTACCCCACATTCCAAAAGTCTGTTATCTTAGATGCAAAAAGACAATAGGCTCCATTAAGGTGAAAATTGACCTTTGTCAGGGAAGATGCTGGCCCAGGACATGACTATGACTACCTGCCATGAACTGCTCTTAGTTAAGTTTAAATTTCAGACCATCCTTTGTGGTTACTTTAGGTCTTTGAGTTTGTAAAGGTGCCAGGAAGGCCTCCCTGAGCTTGTCAGGTTAGCATGTGGCCCCATTTCCTCCACAAATGTATGTGAAAAGGCAAAGGAACTAAAAAATACGACAACTTTGACAAAGAAATGTAAAATTGGAGGAATCACATTACTCAATTTTAAGGCATACAAAGCTACAGTAGTCAAGACAGTGAAACGTCTGCATAAAGACACACGCATAAACCAATGAAGAAAATGGAGAATCCTGACCTACACCGACACGCTGGCCAGGGCTTCTGTCATCTTTCTACTTGATTATCTAAGGGAAACTAGGTCAGTGCCCCTGACTAACAGGTCAGTGCCCCTGACTAAGTAGCCACGTAGTGCATGGTTTAACAATTCTTGCGGAACTCGGGTTGAAAACTGCTGACCTAGCGGCTAGTCCTCGGCCCCAGCCTGGGTAGATGCTCCTTTTCCCAACTCGGCGCCGCCTGCGCTCTCACCGCTGGGAAATGGAAACCTGGCGACCGCAGGGCGGGCACCGAGCCCAGGGCGGCGCCCGCGGGATGTGCGCAGAGCGTTGGGCCAGAGCCCTGTGCGCAGAGCGTCGTGCGCGCCAGAGCGCCGCCGGGGCTGCCGCCGCCGCCGTCGTGGCGCATAGTGCTGACGCACCACGCACGCGGGGCGGGACGCTCCTCTGCCGGCGACGGCGCTGCGTCACTGGCTTTCAGGCGCTCGGCTCCTGGAAACGGTGACTGCCGTGGGCCTCAGCGCTGGCCTCTCCCGCCCGGGGAGCCCGTCCGCGGCGCGATGAGGCGCAGCAAAGCGGAGGTGGAGCGCTACATCGCCTCGGTGCAGGGCTTCGCCCCGTCGCCCCGAGAGGTGAGCGGGTCCTGGAGACACGGATGGCTTCGGCCCGGCCGCGGCCCCGCGTGGCGCCCGCCTCATGGCTCCGGCGACCGCGGCTCCCTCCGCTGATGCTGAGGCGCCGGCCGGCTCTCCGGTCCGGTGGGCGCGGGGGGCTCGCGAGCTCGAGGGGGCGGGAGAGGGGCGAATCCGCGCCGGGCGGCCGTTGGTGCCCGCGCTTCCTGTTCCTCCGGGCCCTTCCGACGGTCCGCACCCGGGCCCACCCTGCGCGGAGCCTCTCGGGCGCGGGCGGGCCTCGTCCCCGCTTGGGCCGCTGCCATGTCCGGCGGGGTTCTCCGCGTCCCGGCCGCCGGGGCGGCGCCGTCCAGCTGGGAGGTCGGGGGAACCCGCGGGGACCGGTTCCGGGTGGGCTGCTGCTGCGACGGGACGGCCGTGGGCGCCCGGCGACCCGGCCAGGGCAGCGGCTCGGCACCTGCCGGCCGGCCGGCGGCGGGTGACCCGGAGCCCCGCGTGAGGCGGGCTTGCCCCGCCCCAGCGCCCTGCGAACTTCGCTGCTGGCGGCCTCTTCCTGTCCTTCTACAACGGAGTTCTGGGGGTTCTGACTTCCTCGCAGGCGTCGTTACTGTCCGCAGCGTGCTCGCCTTTCACCCCGCGCTCCTTGGGGCGGTTTTGCTCTGTGAAGATACGCAACGTACTGGGGTGTTTGTGTTGGGCGGACCCGAGGGTGGGCTGTGTGGGGAGAAGGGCACGGCTGGTCGCCGCGTGCGCGGTGGGCCGGGGCAGGTCAGAGGACGGCCCAGGTGAAGCATGGAGGGCCCGGCTGCGAACAGTGAGCACGAGATAGACGTCGGTGTGGGTCAGGGCCTATGAGAAGAAAGATACACGAGGAAGTTACAGAAACGGCACCCCAAACCCAAGGTCCATCTCAGCGTACTTGTGTCTTTTGTCACACGTTAGGAACATGTTACCTTATTTTGGGCTCCCAACAACCCTGTGGTTATTGACACCTGGAGAGATGAAAGACACTTGTCCAAGGTCAGTAGAGGGCTGAGCAGGATTTTGGTAAAGGGTCGGTTTCATTTGTTTAGGAGTAGTGGAGTAGGGTAGTCTGTTCCTTCAGAGAAGAGGTACCTGCAAATGTGCCGCCTGAGTCTAAAACAGGATTTTACTAAAGGTTTCTGTACCCCTGACATTGATAGGATTTTTAAAAAAGGAACTTTAGAGCTTTCATGAGATTGTTAGTGGGGACCCTGGCTCCTCAAAATTAAGAACCGCTGGTCTAGACAGAAGTTAGAGTGTTTTTTGAACTACCTAACTTTTTTATCAAATAAAGAGGGTAGGGGGCAAAAAAATTTTAAGGACTGGTTATTTATGGACATGTCTTTTTTATGTTAAAGAGTATTATTTTAATCAGGTGTTTTTTTTCCCAAGCAAGGAGAAATCATTTACTTTAGAACCTGCGGATTTCAGTGTATTGATTGGCAATGAGTACGTTTGGAATATGTGATGGTGTTTAGTAAACTTATGTCTAAGTGAAATGACAAAAAAAGGTGCTTTGGATATTTGGAAGGGAGATGGTAGGGGCGGCAGGGACCGGCTCTGTGAAGATTAGTATTTACTTTGCTGCCCTTTGGCAGAGACTGGCCATGTGTGACTTGATCGTGCTTTCGAGGATGTCCCAGTTCTGCTGAAGTGATGGTTCCTGCTCAGATTTTCCCTGGCTTCCCTTGTGCTTCCATGTGTTCATCTCCTTTGTTTTGCCATTTTTCTTCTCCTTTTCTCCAGCTTTTGCCCTTGTTGAAATTTTCACTTGTGTTTCCTTAATTATTATTTTTCCAGGTGGGTTCTGTTTAGTTTTCCTAGATTTCTGTCAGGTTGGCTTTCCATTGCAGACCCCCAATTTCTGCTCCTCAGAAGCAGTTTGACAGCTCTTAGTTGGTTGTTCTTCCGTTTACATCTACACTTTATAGTTCTGAATAACATACATATATGCTTTTATTTCTTGGTCTCCTTTCCTCCATTTTAGATGCTTTCTACTCTGTTCCTCCAGACTTCTGTCCACAGGTGTTTTTATTTCCCCCCTTGTTCTTCCAGTACTGTTACTGTAATTTTTAGTTAAATGAATATTTAGTGTCTATAATTATAAGGCAAATATCTTTGCATTTGAATTGTCTTGATTGGGTAATTTTATTTTTTTCTGAAGTTAATAATGGCTTTATTTATTTATTTTTTTGGTTTGTTTGCTTTTCTGTGATGTAGTACTAATTCTTTACCCAGACTCAATTTAAATTCTCAAGTGTGATCAAACAGTTCACGTCATCCACAATTTCAAGTTAAGAAACATTTCTTAAAAGAGTTTCCCTTCTGGCCCTGTTGGGTTTGGCTCAGCAGTTAGAGCATCAGCCCTCTGACCCACCGGTTGCAGGTTTAATCCCGGTTCTGGTCTGGGTTGTTCAGGAGGCAACCAATGGATGCGTCTTCTCTCACATAGATGTTTCTGCCTCCTTCTCTCCCACTCTATCTAAAAATCAGTGGAAAAATGTTCTCGGGTGAGGATCGACAAAAAAATAAAATAGTCTTCCATCCTGGAGCACTCTTGTTTTACTTTTCCAGCCTGGAGTGGTTTCTGTTTCTCTTTCCTACACAGTTGTGCTCCTGGGACTTCCACTTTGCTGTGTTAGACTTTCAGTTTCTTGTAACTCTTACCCTCTTGACTTACCTCCTTCCTCTGTTTTGGTGTAGCACAATCTCAAGTTTGCTTTGAAAAGGAATGAATGGGAATTTTTTTTTAACATAGTAGTCTGAAAAATGTCTTTAATAGTCTTATTTTTATTTTTTTATCCTCACCTGAGGACATTTTTCCAATTTTTGTACAGATAGAGTGGGAGGGAGAGAGAGAGAGAGAGAAACATCGACGTAAAAGGGACACATCAAGTGGCTGCCACCCGCACGACCAACCAGGGCCGGGGACAAACTGCAACCGAAGTACGTGCCCTTAGCGGGAACCGAACCCAGGTCTCTCCGGACCGCAGGCTGATGCTTCAACCGCTGAGCCAAACCGGCCAGGGCTTTAATAGTTTGATTCTAGGTTCGAAATACTTGTTTCCTTGATTTTGAGAGCATTGCTTAATTTTCTGATTTTTTGTGTTCTTAGATGTCTGATGTGATTCAAGATTCTTCTCAATTGGCAAAGTTATTTCCTTCAGTTCTGGAAGATTTCTTTGAGCACCCACTCCCACCCCACCCCCCGTGTCTGTCTCTCTTTTCTTTTTTTCCCCAGTCATCTTTCAGGTGTGTTTGCTTGTTTATTTTTGTAATTAAAATTTTTTTTTTAGTTTTAAATTACAGTTTACAGTATTGTTCTTTTTTAAAAATTGATTTTAGAGAGCCCGATTGGTGTGACTTAGTGGTTGAGCATCGACCCATGCACCAGATGTCTCCTGGTTAGGGCACATGCCCAGGTTGTGGGCCAAACCCTCAGTGGGGTCATGTAGGAGGTGGCCAGTCGATGGTCTCTCATCGATGTTTCTATCTCTCCCTTTCCTTTCCTCTTTCTCTAAAATCAATAAAGAAAAAAATTGGTTTTAGAGAGAGGAAGGGAATGGGAGAGAGAGAAACATCTATTGGCTGCCTTCTGCACGTGCCTCCTACCAGGGACCGAGTGTGAAACCTGAGCATTTGCCCAGACTGGGAATTGAACCCTTTGGTGCATGGGACTATGCTCAACCAACTAAGCCACACCAGCCAGGGCTCAATAGTGTTCTTTATTAGTTTCAGATATACAGCATAGTAGTTAAAAAGTTATGTACTTTACAGAGTGGACCCTCCTGTCTCCATACATAGTTACCATGATATTATTGAATATGTTTCCTATGCTGTAATGTACATCTCTGCAGCTATTCTGTTAACTACCAATTTGTACTGCCAATCCCTTCATTTATTTCCCCCAGCTTCTCAACACCCCTCCCCTCTGACAACTCTATCTGTTCTCTATGAGTCTGTTTTTATTTTGTTTGTTTATTTTGTTCTTTAGATCCCACATATAAGTGAAAGCATAATTTGGTTCTGGTTTGATCTTCCAAATTTTTCTCTCATTTGTGTCTTATGTTTTTTTTTTCTTATTTTTTGGAGAGATTTCCTGTAACCTTATTGTCCAGGGAAGGGAATTGGGGAACCCACCATTTAGTAGCCATCTAGACTTTGTTTACCCTTACCCTTACCCTTTTCAGTTCTCCACAAGTTTGGAGCCCATCAGTTTATACTAAGAACAAGCTGATTTACTTCAACTTTTTGCAGAGTTTGTGTGTGGGAGAGGGTAGTCAGTTGTGGCATCTTTCAAGGTCTGAACATTTTTATTTTTATAGCCTCACATCAGTTCTTGATACTTAGCAGCTTAAGGCAATTTAAGCATTTGCTTACAGTGTCATACGATGTCATGGAAAGAAGCATACTGGCTGCATCACAGATCTACCTGTAAGGCATTACCCAGGGCACAAAGCTTTGTATGTATTATGTATTCTTATATAAGACACATATTCTTTAGCTTTTGAGAGATCACCAAACTTTTCAGTTCCTTTGTGAAATCAGAGGACTGAAGACAGAAGATTGTCAAGTTTCCCCTAACTTTTATGGTTGCATATATTAGTCTTTAATAATTGTTATTTATCGTAAGATAGTCTGCTTTAATTGATTTTACAGAGGAGGGGGAGAGGGGCAGAGGGAGGGAGAGAGGGTGAGAAAAAAATTGATTGATTGCTTATATCATGTGTCTGGACTAGGAATTGAATCTGTAACTCAGGTATGTGCCCTGACCTGGAATTGAACCAGCAACCTTTTGGTGCACAGGATGACCCTCAAATAACTGAGCCATTCTGGTCTGGCTGTAGAACAGAAAATTTTTATTCTAATGAAACAGCTTATCAATTCTTTCATGTATTGTGTCATTGGTGTTGTATGTAAAAAGTCTTAGCCAAAGCTATGGTCATCTAGATTTTCTTCTATGTTATCTACTAGAA